AAGGTGGGAAGACAATTCTGTTGCTTGATGACCGGCTAGGCATCAGTTTGCTTTTGAGAGGTGGTGAATGATCACCTTTGCATCACTTGTCCTTGTTTTCCATTGTAATTTTTCCCTCTCTTTCTGTCACTAAGTCAACTGTCTTTATCCCAAGCCATGAGTTTACTTGCTTTTACTCTCCCTATATTCTCTCCCATCCCACTGGGGGCTGGCTGGGGATTAAGTAGGTGTTTGTGTGTGTGCTTAGCAGCTGGCTGGGGTCAACCCACTACAGATAACCACAATAAAAGACGTAGTCTTTTGGAGACCCTTATCCCTCTTCATTGCTACGTGCATACTGCAGTATCTTTGTCTCAAGAAGCTACTGACTAAGATAATACAATCAAAATATCTGATGTAGAAAATTCCTCTTTCCTATTTGGTCAAATCAGCCCATTTTTGTGCAGTTTTGGTCTCATGATATTAAATCATTTGTGCAACAGAGATTTGAGATGGAAAACTTGCATAAATTTTACTGACACTGCATAGCAACTGGCTTGGTCTATCACAGCAAAACATTTCTAGGAAGTACTTACGCATCTCTGCAAACAGCTGCCTTCTTTCTGCCATGGTATTTCCTCTTTTCCCACAATCTTCAATCATTCTGGAAGACAAAATCGTGTGAAAACATTAAGTATTATTCCCAGACTGAACATACATAAATAAGTATCCAAAACCCATCCCGAAGAACCTTTGAAGTTGACTGGTGCTCCACATGTACCCAATGCTTTTTGCCAGCCTCTCTGTGGAGTGGTTTGTGGAGAAGCTGGTCCCCAAATTGTCCTCCATTCCCTAGACTCTGCTTTCAAGCATTTGTCCCCCCCATCCCTCTCTCCCAAAGGCAGTGTTCAGTTTTTCTGCTTGATGTAACTAACTGGCTTACATAACACAAGCTCTGAAATTCATTTTAGGTTTTCTTAAATAAGGAATCTTCAGTTTAAATTATGTAAGAGAAAAGAAATAATGAAAGATTTGGATATCATTTTATAGTTTAGAAAATGCCTTTCTAGCCAATTCTGGGTAGAGGAGAAAAAAGAACAAACAACAGCAACAACATAATACCCTCTATTTACTCGAGCAAACACACTCCAAATATTAATTCAAATTCAAGACAGTACATCTCTGATTAAATGAGTTTCAGAAAAAGGCTCAGAAGTAAGAATATATTTTCCTCCAGTTTTCAGATATAAAAATCTTCTGAATATTTTGAAGAGCACTACTGCTGGATAGAGCAGAGAGACAGCTTACTTCACAGCCAGCATTCAAACCATAAAAGACGAAAGCCTTCAGAGTAAAGATAAACATCTTTAGCAGCACTCAAAAAATTAAACCAGTGTCAGCATCACCACTTCCTATGGGTAATTACTCTGGTGAACCAATATCCTTTTCTGCCTGCCAAGTCTGGTTAGGGCTTCTGACCTGCATTTTAATCTACATCCTCACGTCAACTAGACTGTGTAAAATAACATTGGACCTGGGATATGAAGAAGATGCTCTGCAGAAGCCTGGAATCAAAAATATTGCACCATATCCCATGGCAAACCCCCAGATGTATACACCAGGAAGGATAAAAGTACCAGATGCCGAAGTCTACCATCACCAAAGAACTCAAGACAGAAAACCAGTTCCCTTTTATCTCTCAAACAAAGAAAGGCAATCACATAAGAGGTGTTTTGTTGTGTGGGTTTTTTCCTTCCCTTTCAAAATGCACTGTTCAAATGAAGTGGTGGTACATTATAATTGCCTTTTCCAAATAGCCTATTCAGTTCTCAGAGTAGTGATAAAGGCTCTGCTAAAGTGCTATCTGTGGTGGACATTTTGTGATGTGAGCAGTAATCCCACTAGGAAGTGGACAAAGGATACGGCTGCAGCCTCTTTGCAGGGATATTCGAGTTCACCCTTATGCTCTCGTTTGGCCGGGAGTGATATGGATGTGTCTAGCATGGCATTAAGTCTGAGCTAATACATCCTGCCTTTCTGCAGAGATAACAGCTTTCAGCGTAGTGCTTTAAAGAAGTGGCCACACAGCCTCTGACCCGGGGGTAGCTGGTGTCTTCCTAGCTTGGAGGTGTCAGGAAAGACTCACACCTACCTGCAAAATGAGACAGACCTCAGGATACACCAGACCCAAACAGCATCCTAATTAGACAGCAAGAAGTAATATCTTTTTTTTTTTACATGAATCAGCCTTAAATCTCTGCCCATAAAAGATTAAAACCAATGTAATTCCACTATACCCAGCCTGAATTGCTCACTCCTTTCTGTTTCTGATTGAACTCATAGGTGTTTGTCAGAGGAAAATTTGCCATGGTAAATGACCAGATCTTGTAGGATGGGTGGGTTAATAAAGCCCTTTGAAAAGAGAGCATCTTTTACCAGAAAGGACAGTTGAGTGAATACTTCAGAGCAAACACAATTCTAGACCAATGTCTATTATTTGTGGTGTTGGTCATAGGCCATCATAATTTCCTCTGACTTCTCCTATATTCAGAATTATTCTACAATGTGCAACTTGTTTTAAGACCATATAATTTGACTAAGATTGGGTTCACTTGATTTTGGCACAAGGATTACATCATCTTCTTTCACTTTCTTGATACAATTTACACTCAAATCTTACAGATTCTTCTCCATTTAATAATTTAATAATTTGCTGTTTTCATTCCACCAAAGTTCTCTAACACTCATGAAATAATCATCAGTCTCACAGTGATTGCTGCAAACCTTATTGAAAACAAAAGGGGTGCAACTTTATTCTCACTTCCCTCGTACTGTCACCTGGAGAAAAATATTCCTTAGCTGTTATTTTAAAGTATCTACAGAGCATCCACTGAAATGTGGATCTCCTGTGACCTTATTCACCACACGGAAGAATTTTCCCAGTCAAAATTAAGTTACAAAAAGGTATTTTTCAAATCATGCAAATTGTACAGCAAGTTCTCCACTTCCTTCAGAGAGCCCATTCCTAAAGTGTCCTTTCAGTGGGGTAAAAAATCATTAACTGATTCTCCCTTTTCTGCAATTCATCCTCCCTTTACTTTTACTGTTTATATCTCCTTATATAAAAATGTTCCCTGGACCTGATCATCATTTTTCAGAATGTCCCATTATCTTCTAAAATTGAATCACCCTTCTCACTGCTGGGGCTTCTGGGGATTACCAGGCCTGACAAATAACTTTGTATTTATAAACACACAACTCAGGCTTCCTTGGAGAGGGAAGAAACTTTATATTTTTAAGACTCTTCTTGCACTAGATATTTTGGAGGTTTTAAAATAGCCCCTCTTCCCAAATGACAATCCCAAAATCCTCTGCAATGGGGTAAATGCCATTAAGCTAATGAGAACATTAGTGGTGACAGTATTACCAGACAGATACTTTCTATCCCTCCTTCATATCTATTCCTGCTAGGAGAAAAATGATACATGACACTCATCAGTATTGTTACTTTTGAGTCGCCATTGACAGGAATTCACTCGACTGTGTCTTTCAGATTTATCACATGCATTTTTAACTCTAGAATGTGCCACAGCTCAGGCTCAACTGATGCCATTGGTCATGGTGTTGTGCATCTCCCTTTTCAGCCTAGTTCACCGTGATCCAGCTCACAGGTACACAGCTCTGCTCTTTAACTCAGATTACAGAGACTCATGCTTTGAGCCCGGGATGCATTCAGCTCAGTCCCTGGGGCTGGCCACGGAGCATAATTGACTACAGTCATGTTTCGATATTTCTCATTTTGCTCATAGCACATGTCAAGTCACAGAAAAAAAAGAAAAGGTACAATTTGTTCTACAAGGGAAAAGAGCAAATCACAAAGCAAACTTTGATGTGCTTTACAAAACAGGATAAACTACCAGAGACATAATTTTGAAAAATATTAATTAATGTATACTTCTCTCATAGTAAGGATTAGACTATATTTGTCTTCTATGGATCCCTTCCATTATCTTTATCCCTTCACTTTTCTCCCCAGGAAATAGCTCCTCCACTGTAGGTAAGAAGAACACCTACTGTGCATCTAATTAAAATTCTTGTCACAAGCTAATTAGTAAGGTACCAATTAGCAAGGTATTAAGGCTTCAGTATATTACAGACATTCCAGAGCAGAAATCATTCCAAACCTCAGATTTCCAGCTCTGAAAAGGATACTGTGAATGTTTCATTTTTACCCATTTTTCAAGCTGAAAACTTTTATGACATTAGCAGCACCTGAAAGAAAAGAATAAATAAAGAAAGAATGTAGTTTGATTGGAACTCTTTTGATTACAATTTCATCTTCATGCTTATCGTATATATCAAAAGCATAGTTGGTCTATTTTTTAATATACTTTATTTGTTTATAAAATCTGGGAGGGAATATCATATAATATGCCTAAGGTGAGAACTAAATGCCTCATTTTTCCTTCCTTTGCTATTTGTGCTGCTTGGATTATGAGTACCATAATATTCTCTCCCACGTGTTTTTCTGCACTTAAAACAGTTGATAGGGTAAATAATACGTTTTATTAAATGGCATTCTTCTTTTAAATAGTTTATTTCCAGTATATTTCCATTTCTTGAGCTCTGTGCATGATAAAAGGAATGCCTGCTACAATTAAATCATTAGCTCCAAAAACCCAATCCGTCCTTGTTTTGGCTGGATAGAGTTAATTTTCTTCCTAGCAGTTGGTACAGTGCGGTATTTTGGATTTAGTATGAGAATAATGTTGATAACACACTGATGTTTTAGTTGTTGCTAAGCAGTGCTTACCCTAAGCCAAGGACTTTTCAGTTTCCCATGCTCTGCCAGTGAATAGGTGTACAATAAGCCAAGAGGGGGCACAGCTATGACAGCTGACCCAAACTGGCCAAAGGGATATCCCATACCATAGAGCACCATGCCCAGTGCATAAACTGGAAGGAATTGGCTGGCAGGTGCTGATCACTGCCTGGGGATGGGCTGGGCATCATTCAGTAGGCGGTGAGCAATTGTATTGGGCACCACTTATTATCTTGGGTTGTATTCCTCTCTCTCTCTCCTTTGTGTTATTATTACTATCATCATTCTTTGTTTCAATTATTAATCTGTTCTTATCTCAATCCACGAGTTTCACTTTTTTTTATTCTGATTCTCCCTACCACCGGGAGTGGTAGAGTAAGTGAGCACCCGTGTGGTACTTAGTTACAGGCTGGGGTTAAACCACAACATCATCAAAAGAAGAATTGCCTGTATACCTGGAGAGGTGCTCCCCTCTGGAAAGTTCCATACACTTCCCAGGAGACTGTCAAAAATCCCCGACCTGACATGCGCACACACAGTTCGATGGGTCTGAGAAGAGCCACCCCATTAACACTTCCACAAATCCCCATCCCCTTTGCCTGTGACAGATGAAGTGCCCCAGGGAGGCAGGATGCACGCCAGCGAGGAAAACTGCCTGCTGAAATTGATTAATTGTGGCATGAAAAATTTATCACGTCCCATGTGATGGCTGTGACGCAGTCACGCGTTTGAGAAAAGAGGCTCCCAATCCTGGCCGGTGGCACTTCTGACCGTTTTTCAGGCTGGATAAAAGTTGTTTATTCCATCAAAGCAGGCACAGAGGAAAAAGAGAAACACTTGC